CTAAGGGCTATTTGTGGACGAAAAGAGAGAAAAATCGATTTTTCGACTTCTGCCGTGCTATGTTTGCTAAGGAGAAAAATTTACTCTTAAATTTCTACTGCAGCTGTTTTTCTGTCTAGGCTCCAGACCCCCACTGATAAAATAAATACATGATAAATAGCTTTCCAAAATTTTAACGGTTATACTTTTGAAAATGTATGTTGACTAGCATACGAAACGTCAAGTTCATAAAATTCATGTTTTTAAAATGTTTATCACCACTGTTTTGCAGCCAGTCGAAATGAGGTTGCAAAAGAAAAATACATGCACCCCAAGTGATTTTTAAGTATGATTTAGGAAAAGTCATTAAGTTAGGCCATTATAATTCTTTCTTTCGTTTTTTCTTTTTTTCATCTCTCCTTTCCACAGGCAGCACATAGTTGGGCAAAGAGTTATGCTTTATGTTTTAACTTGTGCTCCTACCAAATGAGCTTCAGTCAATTATAACTGGTCTAGTATTTAAAAAGTCACACCAACATAGACCATATTATTAGGCTGAGTTGAAAGAGCTGAAAGAACTCAGACTAATACAATTAATTCTATTTTTTTGGAAACACATGAAATTAAATCGGGATATGTATTTTATCGTATAATTTTACTTTAAGTGAAATGTTCACACCAGTGCTTTTTTTCTAACGTTACCACCGCTGAATCTCCTTAGGATATTTTCCCACCCGTTTGCTTGCGGAGGATCCAATTTGATTTCTTAATTATTGGCCTTGATAGGGAATACACTGCGAAGTACGGAGATGTTCTTCCTGAATCAGGTAAAAGCAGCTCAGAGCTTTTATTATAATTTCTCTCTCTTCGGGCCATAATAGTCTCTTGACCTTAATTACTGCACTGAGAGATTGCACACGGAAGATGGCATATGATTAAATGCATGTGCCTTCCAAATATCATTAATAATTCTTGGGCCATTAACGTTATCTATTTACCGATGATGTAGGTCAGAGTCATAAAATCTATTCTGGCAAAAAGAACATGACTGAATGCGCGGAGGGAGGGAGGGCTTTTCCTTTCGGACACATTTTGATTATACATTTATACCGCGCGTTCTAATTGGTTGTCTAGTTTTGAATGAAACCATATTAAAAAGAAAAAGCTTATGACTTATCATTGCATCTTCCATGTAATCCTTAAAAGAAAAAGAATACTGTCGCTCTCTTGTTCAGAGGGTCGTACAGGGGTATTCTCGTGATGCGTGATTAGCTGATTTTATTTTCCGTGAAACGTGAATTAAAGAAATTATTCTTCATGATCCGTGACCTGAAGGTGTTGCGTGACCCGTGAAGAACTTGAATTATTAACCGATATTCGTGATTTCACCATTCTATTCTACGTGATTTTGAGACGCGAGTCCTCCGAATGGTTAGAGTCGTCTGTCGAGAGTGACTTAGGTGTGCGATTTGCAATATGGAGCCTTGGCCTTTCACGATTTTGCTTTCTTCAAACAGTCTTTCTAGTGCAAGAGCAGGTTATTAAAAAGAGTACATCACTTGCTTATTTTCGTGATTCGAGAAAATGAAATTTTGATATCCGTGATCTATTATTCGCAATTTTTTCGGTACGTGAACCTTTCCAGAGACTTCCCTGTACGACCCTCTGTTTACATAGCCCAATTCAGACACCCGAGGAAGTGTGGGGGAATTTGGAAGCATTCACGTAAATTGAACCCTCCGGCCTGGCACTCGGTTTTACGTAAACTTTCGTATCTGGTCGAGTCATGTAAACACACTTAACTGTCTCTGAACTGTACACAGATGAGATAAAAGAGGACCTGGTAGTTCAAGAAACACGTGGAAACCGAGAGATGATCAGCCAGATTCTTAATTCGACTTTTAACTGCCAGGGCGCCGTGGATCGTGGAATCATGTGTCCACCTGGCCCAGAGGTGATTATTAGGAAGACATTAAATTCCAAGAATTAATTTTTTCTAAATCTAGTGACGATTATCATTTAGTCAAAAGCAATAAGAAAGCTAAGGTGGGTTGTTTTTCAACTGCATGTACGATGACGTCAATTTCTTTCGACACATGCTCCACATTATGTGATAATTATGCATACCTCCTTCCTACCTACTGGTCAGCAGTAATTTTTCAAAAAAGTTATTCAAATGCAAATTGGTAACAATATAAGCCCCTGCGGACGACGTGACAAACACTTCTTCCTGGAGTGGTTCTTTAGGCCAAGGTTCTCAAGAAGACAAACTAAATAAATATACAAATAAATGGTGGGAAGATCCCAAGATGCTCTCATATCTTCAGAGAACTACAATTGCTCTTCTATATTCTGGATAAGTACCTCTTATCAATTTGCATTTCCCTTTCGACATACTCCGCATTATGAGATAATTATACGTTTTTAAAGAAACTCGGCCTATAGATACCTACATTGTAAAAACAAAACAACAAACAATTTGCAAAGACCATAAATGATGGATGAAAAAAGCATTCATTGCGATAAGCATATATAGTCGACTCCCGATAACTCGAACCTTCAGGGGAAATAGTAAAAGGTTCGAGTTATCGGGAGTTCGAGTTTTCGAGGGTAAATTTATATAGAAAATAGCCTGAAGCGAAATGAAACTTACTTCGAGTTAGCGAGGGTTCGAGTTATCGGGAGTCAACTGTATGTGGTTCTTGACCTTTTTCTCAATATTTCTAAAATAAAGTTTGTAAAAAAAAACGTTCACTTGACTGCCATCTTAGGCATGTCAGTAACTGGGGTACCTGTAACATAATCATTAGATGAGGCAGCTCCTCTGACGCTGTGAGCCTTGACAAGCGTCGATCCCGGCAGACTGAAACACTGACATGATCCATCTAGTTAAACCTAAGAGACTCAGGATTGTATGGCCTTGCAAATGACAAAAACATTTTGATACAAAAAATTCCATCACAAAAACTTGAGAACTACAATTAGACTTCAATGTAAGTGCCTCTCGTCTAAATGTTATGTTTCGCGACAAGTGTAGTTTTACATATAATTGACAGAATAAATTCGTTTTGTTATTTCGAGGCGTGGAACGTTCATCCAGGTATCAGAATACAAGGTTATCATTTGACATGTGATGAAGTGACGCGCTGTCCAGAATGCGGCCCTGGCGAGGGTCATTGGCCTGGAGCGAGATATCTCACAAGATTTACAAAAGAGTTTCCTCATTTTGAGGTGAGTAACGACAATCCAGGACACAAGAAAATCATTGGTAAGGTTCTTTCCTTCCTCGAAACAAGTAACAACAAGTAAACAAGTAGCAATAAGTAACGTGTAACAAGTAAGCGACCACCCAAAATGTCAAGCCAGGTGGTTGTTTGTGGGAGGTGGTCGCTTAAGAGAGCTTAGACCATATTAGGTCAAAATTTTGCCTCATTAGCACATGGTAAATGCAGAGACCNTGCTTATAATGGAGGTGGTTGTTTATGTATACAAGACCTTAGACCATATTGGGTCAAAATTCTGCCTCATGTAAATGCAGAGCCCCTCCCCCCCCCCCTCCCCCCTCCCCTTTAAATGTCTTATTCATGTGAACAGTCAATTTCGAGAGAAAATCCAGTACTTCCCATCGAGAAACTCTTTAGTTCTAAAAGTGGTCGCGGTAGCGTACGAGAGGTGGTCGCTTTGAAGAAGTTCCAAATATAGTGATTCGACTTGGGAACTTTAATATTGGAAAACTGGTCGCTAAGTACGTAAAGGAGGTCGCAACCAGGGGTTCGACTGTAACACAGATTTTGATTGTTATTTTCTCCGTCTCAGGAATTGTATAATTATCGCTCTCTGATTGGTTAAGCGCTTGCAAGTTACCAGCTCATATGTGGTGTCTGTGAGTGAGTTAAACTTTTCAGGTTTCTGTCGTGATTCCATTTTTTTTTTTTTTTTTTTTTTTTTACACTGGATACACATTAGGTTATATAAGAATAGAATGCATTAATATAAACTTTTCCTCTGATTTTGACCACTTGAATGTTTATCCAATTCAAATCAATTCAATCGTTTATTTACAGAATGAAGTTTAATTCAATGAACATGAAGACCTTTTGCTGTCGTTGTAATTATTGTTTACTGGCGTAAAATAGCCATCCTCGGATATAATTTCTAGGTAAAAAATACTACAGCGAAATTCCCTGAGCTGCCTCGCCTTTTGAATTAAAAGGGAAAGTCGTAATGAAATAGCCATCAGGCAGATTATAATTTTCTATTATTGCAGTCCACGTGAACATTAACCTTATTAGAGCATATAATCTCCACTAACACTTTGCAGGTCGCCATCCTGGAAACTGGGACACTGATTATAGTAGCGATAGGAGTGGTGAATGAGGGTTACAATACCGGTAAAATGCCCGGATGGGAGGATGGAACTGTGGGATACCAAAGTGATGGAAACATCTGTGATGCTGAAAACAGCGAACGTGGCAGAGAAACCAAAGGTATCAACAACAAAAAAATAGAACTTTCCCAAATATATAATTTATAATATCTTATTTTATTAAAAACTGGACCATTAGATAATGCAATTGGAGTGTTTTCATTGGCTTAGCAATCATGGGTTATATAAACAATAACCTCCATTTGAAGCGGAAATATGCTCGGATATTTGTCCGCGGACATTATCTGTTCCAAGCAGCGAACATTTTTCCGAGAGTGTAGCTCGAGGAAAACTGTGAGCTTTGAGGAACAGATAATATCCAAGGACAAATATCCGAGCATATTTTCTGGCCAAATGGAGGCTATTGCGTTTATTATTCGTCAAATATTTTTCGCAACATGCGCGATTTTGAAAATTTGGGAATATTCTCAGATATTCCCCAGTTTTAGCTGGGAATATTCAGTCACGTGACGTGTTTAGACCAATCGCGCGCGAGCGAAAATGTTTGATGGATTACAAGAGCCATTTGTACCATGCTCTACGAATATGATAAGCTTACGCGTGATTTTCTGGGGCGTTTTTATTTTTATTCGGTTTTGTTTGCTATATTTAGGGGGAGTTTTTGATGAAACAATTATTCCACTCGCGCCTGTTGGATATGAGATGATTATAGCCAACTCTGCAATATTCGCCTCGCTGGCTATCTACCATCTCATATCCAACGCGCGCTTCTGGAATAATTGTTAAATAATCGATCTATGTATTCTTAAATATTACGTTTCTAGCGTGCTGGCCTTACATGGAAACTGACCGCGGGATATGACGCCAAGTTGACCAGTTTGTGTGGGAAACAAAAATATGCCAAGACAAGATGTCGGAAAAAATATATTTTGAGAGCTTTCTACCGAAGAAAGACAGGAACTAATGGAAAATGCTATACCTGCAACAAAGAAGAAAGCTACAAACTTCAGTATGAGGTTATACGCGTCTTAGGTTTTCTGACAAATTAAGAAAGAAATGAAACTCTTCCGTGCATCGAAATTTCAAACACTGAGAAACAATCTGTCACAAAACCAACAACAAAGTTTGCCTTTAAAATTTCTAGAATGGCTTGCAAGTCCTTGTTGAAGTAACTTTTTGGCGCAGTCATTTGAAGAAATGACCTATGGGGGGCTTTATGCGTGCGTCAAAAATTTTTACATTTCAGCGAGGAAAAATGGCGGTTGTTTCTAAAGAGGCACTTCATAGTCGATAAGAGCTG